CTGGATGGACGGTTGGATAAAATAATTTCTTATTACCTCCTTTTTATAATCCAGTGATGTCGCCTTTCTATCTCGTACTTTTTTTCTCACCAAACTTCCTGTCTTTACCCTATATACCGCCTTGTCTTTTTCTTTTATCATTTCCGGTTCCTATATTACATCACTTCCTGTTCCTACATTACATCACTTCCTGTCTTAGGGTCCTCTTGCTCTCAGTGATATCGCCATCTTCTGGTGATTTTAATAACTGCATCCCAGAATATGTTTTATTATCCCGCCCTCTGTCCTGCAGCGCGTTCTCTGGTTACATTTTGCACATTATGACACGCTCACATTGTTCTTCACCTAAAACTGTATCGATAAAAAAAATATGTTATCTCTATTTTTACATCCTCTGTGGGATACTGATGTGAAAATTAAATATATAAATTGTGTATAAATAATTACAATATTCACTATTTCAAATGACAATCCAAAGAAGAAAAAAAAAAAAATGAAAAAATAATATATATACTTATATCTAGTGTACAAAATATAATTATCTTCTGCTTATAACATCATAAATAAATACCGCATACTGTGCTGGTGACAATAGTAAATAGTGATAGTGATAAAAACAATATATATGAAAAAGTGCTCATAGACAGTCCTCTTTCAATTTAAATTATGATGGTGCAATCCCATAATCCACGTGCAGTGTGATTTTATTATGCGCTCACCTCAGGTTTTGCCTTATAAAAAGGCAAAACTAGCTTTTTGTCCTTAAAGGACTGCTGGGATGATCCTCCTGCTTAGGATATTCCTGATGGCAAATGGGATGATTATGCTCGATCTTAATCCACCTGGGATCTCTGGAGTGATTATGCCTACTGCTGATCAGGATTTGATGGCTGGATGGAGATTTCGCTTTTTCTTCCAAAGGTCTCCTTCCTCCTATACTGATTTCTCTCCAATATATCACAGGATGATTGTATGAAGAAACAAAACCATCATAGTGCTTTATCCTTTTAAAATTAAGGCTTTATTTGCTGCTGAAAGTTCCATACAGAGTTTTTAGCATAGGCTTCAGAGTAAGGCAGTTTCAGCCTGTATATTGTTTTTATCACTATCACTATTTACTATTGTCACCAGCACAGTATGCGGTATTTATTTACGATGTTATAAGCAGAAGATAATTATATTTTATACACTAGATATAAGTAGTATATATATTATTTTATTATTTTTTCTTTTTTTTTCTTTTTCTTCTTTGGATTGTCATTTGAAATAGTGAATATTGTAATTATTTATACACAGGAGCGCGGCACAACTTATATATTTAATTTTCTCACAGAACACTGTCTAATGAGTAGGTGTGAGTGCCAGCGAACCACAGGTGTATCATATATTGGGTTTTGTTTTGTTTGTCAAATTAATTAATGGTAATAGTTTAGACAAACACCATAGTAGCTCACAAGTACACTCATTTATTTTTTTGGGATACTGATGTGTTTTGGATCTACAGCTTTAATTATTGTTGGCAAATCAGTATTTTGGGCTGGAAATATTACAAATGTAATATAAAATGATAACAATAATACAATATAAAATATTAGTTCCCCCAGATTATTATATTAGTTATATATAGTTTTTTATAGAGTTCCTCTAGATCAGGGGGTCTCCAAGCTTTCTAAACAAAGGGCCAGTTTACTGTCCTTCAAACTTTAGACTGTGGCCAGTGGGAGTAGAAAACAATGCCCCATGATCAGTGTTAGGGGGAGGAAAAGTGCCCCATCATTGGTGTTAATGGGAAATAGTGCCCCATCATTGGTGGGAGGAATAGTGCCCCATCATTGGTGTCAGTGGGAGGAATAGTGTCCCGTCATTGGTGTCAATGGGAGGAATAGTGTCCCGTCATTGGTGTCAGTGGGAGGAATAGTGTCCGTCATTGGTGTCAATGGGAGGAATAGTGTCCCGTCATTGGTGTCAGTGGGAGGAATAGTGCCCCGTCATTGGTGTCAGTGGGAGAAATAGTGCCCCGTCATTGGTGTCAGTGGGAGGAATAGTGCCCCGTCATTGGTGTCAGTGGGAGGAATAGTGCCCCGTCATTGGTGTCAGTGGGGGGAATAGTGCCCCGTCATTGGTGTCAGTGGGAGGAATAGTGCCCCGTCATTGGTGTCAATGGGAGGAATAGTGCCCCATCCTTGGTGTCAATGGGAGGAATAGTGCCCCATCCTTGGTGTCAATGGGAGGAATAGTGTCCCATCATTGGTGTCAGTAGGAGGAATAGTGCCCCATCATTGGTATCAGTGGGAGGAATAGTGCCCCATCATTGGTATCAGTGGGGGAATAGTGCCCCATCATTGGTATCGGTGGGAGGAATAGTGCCCCATCATTGGTATCGGTGGGAGGAATAGTGCCCCATCATTGGTATCGGTGGGAGGAATAGTGCCCCATCATTGGTATCAGTGGGAGGAATAGTGCCCCATCATTGGTGTCAGTGGGGGGAATAGTGCTCCATCATTGGTGTCAGTGGGAGGAATAGTGCCCCATCATTGGTATCAGTGGGAGGAATAGTGCCCCATAATTGGTATCAGTGGGAGGAGTAGTGCCCCATCATTGGTGTCAGTGGGAGGAATAGTGCCCCATCATTGGTGTCAGTGGGAGGAATAGTGACTCATCATTGGTGTCAGTGGGGAGGAATAGTGCCCCATCATTGGTGGCAGTGAGAGGAATAGTGCCCCATCATTGGTATCAGTGGGAGGAATGGTGCTCCATCATTGGTGTGAGTGGGAGAAATAGTGCCCCATTATTGGTGTCAGTGGGGGGAATAGTACCCCATCATTGGTGTCAGTGAGAGGAATGGTGCCCCATCATTGGTATCAGTGGGCGGAATGGTGCCCCATCATTGGTGTGAGTGGGAGGAATAGTGCCCCATCATTGGTGTGAGTGGGAGGAATAGTGCCCCATCATTGGTGTGAATGGGAGGAATAGTGCCCCATCATTGGTATTAGTGGGAGGAATAGTGCCCCATCATTGGTGTCAGTGGGAGGAATAGTGCCCCATCATTGGTATTAGTGGGAGGAATAGTGCCCCATCATTGGTGTGAATGGGAGGAATAGTGCCCCATCATTGGTGTGAATGGGAGGAATAGTGCCCCATCATTGGTATTAGTGGGAGGAATAGTGCTCCATCATTGGTGTCAATGAGAGGAATAGTGCCCCCCCCTCTCCCTCCTTGCCCCCTCCTCTCTCCCTGCCCCCCCTCCTTCTCTCTCACTGACCTCTCCTCCCTCCCTGTCCCCCCTCTTTCTTGCTCTTCCCCTGTCCCCCCTCTCTCTCCTTGCCCCCCCCCCCCCCCCCCCCCAGAATGGATGATCTTGGTGTTGGGGGCCCATGGCCCTCGGTGATGCAGGGCACATAATCTGGGTGCCGGTTCATTATGGAAGCCAAGTGCCTGAATGTGTTGGACGGCAGGACTGTGGGATTTTGTTGAAATCTGGAGATGGTCCCGCACAATCCGGGACAGCTTGGAGGCATGACATCACCACCTTGCGATAGATAAATACTGCAGCCTACATTCCGTTCCATCATTCTGCCCCTCGGGGGCTGTCCTTCTATCCGGGTACATCGATGATTCCCCACATGGATCATACCTCACATCACAGACACACAATACAGAAATAAATCACAAAAAACCAACAAATCTGCCAGCAAAGTAACAATTTAATACCTGACAAGCGCGCTCGGCGCCCATAGAGGACTGTGCCTACTGAGCATGTGCGGGGCCCACGCCAATCCGCCGCCAACTTCCTTTCTTTGTGGTTTTCTACATGTAGACTTCTGTTGTCTGTGAAACATTTCCCGCACGCTGAACATTGTTAGGGAGCTCTGTCTCGTCATGGGGGCAAAAAGGGAGTGTTTTTTAGTGAAACATTTCCCACACTCTGTGCACAAATAGGGACACTCATCTGAGTGACTGTTCTGGTGAGCATCAGGTTCTCTTTTCTGAGTAAAACATTTCCCGCACACTGAACATGAATAAGGATGCCCACTTGAGTGAGTTCTCCAGTGCCTAACAAGGGCTCCTTTTTGGTGGAAACATTTCCCACACAATGAACATAAATAAGTACATTCATTCGAGTGAATTCCCTAGTGCCTAACAAGGGCTCCTTTTTGGTGGAAACATTTCCCGCACACTGAACATGAATAAGTACACTAATCTGAGTGAATTCTCTAGTACCTAAAAAGGACTCCTTTTTGGTATAGAAACATTTCCTGCACACGAATAAGGACGCTCTCCTGTGTGACTTTCTGGTGGGTTTCACGTTCTCTTTCCTGAGTAAAACATTTCCCGCACACTGAACATGAATAAGTACACTAATCTGAGTGAATTCTCTAGTACCTAAAAAGGACTCCTTTTTGGTGGAAACATTTTCTGCACGCTGAACATGAATAAGGACGCTCCCCATATGACTATTCAGGTATCAAGTTCTCTTTCCTGAGTAAAACATTTCCTGCACACTGGGCATAAATAAGTACATTCATCTGAGTGAATTCTCTAGTGCCTAGCAAGGGCTCCTTTTTTGTGGAAACATTTCCCACATGCTGAATGTAAATAAGGACGCTGTGTGACTTTTCTGGTGAGTAACAAGTTCTGTTTTCTGAGTAAAACATTTCCCACAAACTGAGCGTGAATGAGTACATTCATCTGAGTGAATTCTCTAGTGCTAAACAAGGGCTCCTTATTGGTGGAAACATTTCCCGCTCAGTGAAACGTGAATAAGGACGCTCGCCCACGTGACTATTCTGGTGGGTATCAAGTTCTCTTTTCTGAGTAGAACATTTCCCGCACGCTGAACACGAATAAGGACGCTCATCCATGTGACTTTTCTGGTGAGAGGTTCTCCTTTCCTAGCGAAGGATTTCCCGCACTCTGAACATCATAGGTACTCTCACCTAAGAAGGGGTTTTTTCTTGGAATAACATTTTCCACACTTTGAACATAAATATGGTTGGTCATCAGTGTGACTTTTTTTTGTGTCTATGAAGGTTTGTCTGGTCAGAAAAGCCTTTTCCACGCTTCATACAGGAAAAGAGATGCTCGCCCGCATGAATTCTCTGGTGTTTACGAAGGCTTTCTTTTTTTTTAGAAAAACATTTTCCGCACTCTGAACAGGAAAAGGGACCCTCACTCATATGTATTCTCTGGTGTTTCAGAAAGTGTCCTTTTTCAGAGAAACATTTCCCACACTCTGAACAGCAAAAGGGACGCTCGCCCGTGTGAATTCTCTGGTGTATAAGAAGGTGTTGTTTCTCATAAAAACATTTCCCGCACTCTAAACAGGGAAAGGGACGCTCACCAGTGTGAAGCCTTTGATGTTTCAGAAGGTTTCCTTTTTCGGAAAAACATTTCCCGCACTCCGAACAGGAAAAGGGACGCTCACCTGTATGTATTCTGTGGTGTTTCAGAAAGTTTGCTTTTTCGGAAAAACATTTCCCGCACTCTGAACAGCAAAAGGGACGTTCACCCGTGTGAGTTCTCTGGTGTATAATGAGGTTTCTTTTGTCAGAATAACATTTCCCACACTCCGAACATGAATAAGGACGCTTGTGAGATTTCTGGTGTTTAAGAAGTGTTTTCTTCTCACTGAATGTTTTCCCGCACACTGAACATGAAAATGAGCTCCCTCCTGTGTGAACTCCCTCATGGCTTAAAGAGGATTTCTGGGGATTGGATGGACCTGTTGATCTGTCAGCACTGTGAGAACCTAGGTGGACATCTGAAGTTATAGTATGGGATCTATCAGAAGATTCCTCAGGATTAGAAGGATCCATTGATCTGAGATGGACATCTGAACTCATAGTATGGAATCTATCAGAAGATTCCTCAGGATTAGAAGGATTCATTGATGTTAGATGGACATCTGAAGTCATAGTACAGGATCTATGAGAAGGTTCCTCAGGATTAGAAGGATCCATTGATCTTAGATGGACATCTGAGGTCCTAGTATGGGATTTATCAGAAAATTCCTCCGGGTTATAAGGTTCAATTGATCTTAGATGGACATCTGAACTCATAGTATGGGATTTATCAGAAGACTCCATGCGATTAGAAGGATTTATTGATCTTAGATGGACATCTGAAGTCATAGTATGGGATTTATGAGAAGATTCCTCAGAATTAGAAGGATCCATTGATCTTAGATGGACATCTGAAGTCCTAGTATGGGATTTATCAGAAGATCCTTTGGGATGAGAACGATTGATTGGTCTTACCATCCAGTAAAATGTTACTTTTCTAGGAGATTGTCCAATGTCACCGTCTTCTGCAGTGGAACCTGGAGATGCAGTAAGACGTCCCTCACGTTTATTCATCTCTGAACAATATTGTCCGTCTGTTGGAAATAAAGTTTTGTTTGTTTTTTAGACTCTTTGTACTCGGAAGTCATATATATTAGGTCAGAAGTCACAACGTTCTCAGAGCTCTGGCTTTGAATTGGGTGCAATCATAACACTGAACGACCAATACAAACCAGGCCAGATGGTATAGTGTACATGGGGCCCGTACAGCCTGCCTGATGGGAGCCCCAACTCCGCCCCTGACTCCACCCCCTGTCTAAAAAAATGAAGCTTTGTCTTCAAGGAGGGACAAAGGAAGACACTGGGAGATGGGGGGGGGGGGTCTGATACTTAGTGGGGGGAAAAAGGGAAGCATTTGTGAATAGAGGGGAGATATGGGGGTCTTGTTGCTTAGTGGGGGGAAATGGGGGGCCCTGGTGCTTAGTTGGCAGAGATGGGAGGACCTGCTGCTTAGTGGGGGGAGATGGGGAGGTCCTGGTGCTTAATGGGGGGGAGATGAGGGGTCTTTGTGGTTAGTGGAGAGAGATGGGGTCTTGGTGGTTAGTGGAGAGAGATGGGGGTCTTGGTACCTAGTGGGGAGAGATGGGGGGTCTTGGTGCTTGGTGGGAAGAGCTGGGGGGTGCTTGGTGCTTAGTGGGGGATGGGGGGTCTTGGTGCTTAGTGGGGAGAGATGGGGGGGTCTTGGTGCTTAGTGGGGAGAGATGGGGGGTCTTGGTGCTTAGTGGGGAAAGATGGGGGGTGCTTTGTGCTTAGTGGGGGGGGGGGGGGGGGTCTCAGTGCTTAGTGGGGAGAGATGGGGGTCTTAATGCCTAGTGGGCAGAAATGGGGGGGTGGTCTTGGTGCTTAGTGGTGGGAGATTGGGGGCCCTGGTGCTTAGTGAGGAGAGATGGGGAGGAGACCAGTGCTTAGTAGGGAGACCTGGGGGTCTTGGTGCTTACCGGGGAGAGATGGGGGTCTTGGTGCTTAGTGGGGAAATATGGGGGTCTTGGTGCTTAGTGGGGGGAGATGGTAGTCTTGGTGCTTAGTGTGGAGAGGTGGTGGTCTTGGTAATTAGTGGGGGGAGAGATGGGGGGTCTTGGTGCTTAGTGGTGGAAGATTGGGGAAACTGCCAGTCAGTGGGGAAGGGGGGCACTGGTGATAAGTGGGGAGAGATGGGGGTTCTGGTGCTTAGTGAGGGCAGATTGGGGGAACTGCTAGTGATTGGGGGAGGGGGGAACTGGTGCTCAATACCTCAGAGCTCAACAGAGGATGCCAGCAGTGGAAGTCTTCCTTTGCTGCCGCTCTTTGTCAACTTGGCTAAGCTGTCACTGCACTGACATCCACAGGAACCCTCCAGGCGTGTCTACCACAGGAGCAGTGACACCACTGTCACTTCTCCTTTCAGCCCCCCCCCCCCCCAATGAGTTGCCCAGGGCCCTCTGGATGAAAATATGGCCCCCCAATCCAGGGAATATGAGTTACCACCTGGGGAGCCATGGGGGAACAACATTCTGTACTCACAGTACGTATAGAAAATGTGCTATGTGAAGCTTGAACACTTAACAGGGGGGCCCGGGCCCTCTACAGGAAGCTCGGTGGTATCCCCTTATCGGCGACCCTGAGTGTACCCAAACCGTACTAGGGAACAGTATGTGAGCATTGAGGACATTGTTACGGTGAACCTTCCATATGGTGTCCAGTATCTCCACCTCATTTGTTGGGAACATGACGTTATATTGAGAAATGGAGATGGACCTTTTCATATGGTGTCCAGTATCTCCTCATTTGTTGGGAACATGACGTTATATTGAGGAATGGAGATGGACCTTCCATATGGTGTCCAGTATCTCCTCCTCATTTGTTGGGAACATGACGTTATATTGAGGAATGGAGATGGACCTTTCATATGGTGTCCAGTATCTCCTCCTCATTTGTTGGTAACATGACATTATATTGATGAACGGAGATGGACCTTTCATATGGTGTCCAGTATCTCCTCCTCATTTGTTGGGAACATGACGTTATATTGAGGAATGGTGGACACTCCAGTATCTCCTCCTCATTTGTTGGGAACATGACGTTATATTGAGGAATGGAGATGGACACTTCATATGGTATGCATTGCTTCCACCCCAGTTGTTGGTAACATGAGGTTGTGTGGAAGAATGGAGGAGATCCTTTCATGTGGGGTTCAGTAGGGATGAGGTTCAATCTTGGGTCAGTAAAGACTTTGCTTCAAACTCTAGTCATTCATAGTGTACAAAATAAGCAAACCAAATGACCAGATATGCCATGTTTGCTTGCCCAACAACAGAATAACAACTTTGTGATGGCCGGCCATAAGCACCATTGGTTCTTAGGACACTAGGATGGTTTTCAATATTCCCACCTGATTTTTGAATCATGATGTGAAGAATGATATGGACCTTATCATGAAATAGCTAACAATTGTAAAATGAATACAGAAAACCAAAACATTTAATAAAATGGATAAAATAAGCCAGCCAATCGTGGCTGGGTGATAGTGTATGGACACTGATGTCTTCGTTATTGAATGGAATGAAGGTGGACCTTCCTTAAAACTCTTTGTTGGAAATAATATACTATACTGAAGAACAGAAATAGACCTTTGTAATGTCGGTCCAACAGTAAGTGTTTGCTTCTTGTAAAACTGCCTGTTGATCTTGTTAGGTCAGCTCTGTGGTGCTAACTGGTTCTCAAGCAGGATGGCTTTGGATTGTAGCAACATATGTAGCCTTACTCAAAAAATAATGTGAACAGTTTCTGCTCATTACTCACTTGAGCTGATATACAGAGAAGGATCCTCCTCTTTATTAGGATCCATACCCTCATCCTCCTTCGTACTCTGCTGACCACCCATCACGTACGTTTCTTCTTCCTTCTTTACATCAGCTTTTATATCCATGAGTTCCTCAACTTAAAACCAGAAAATGATAAAACAAAACATCCTCAAAACATAAGCACTAATACCCGAGACCTCAGAGAAGATTATCTCAGGTTGGAATAATTTTTAAGTCATAGATGCTCCAACTTTACCTACCTGATGATGGTGAGGGATGGTGTGACCTTCCTGTGTGGAATCCCAGGAATACAGAGGACGGGGACATCTCTCTGGTGGGTTCCCATTACTGGATCCATCTACTTGATGATGGTGAGGGATGGTGTGACCTTCCTGTGTGGAATCCTGGGAATACAGAGGACGGGGACATCTCTCTGGTGGGTTCCCATTACTGGATCCATCTACCTGATGATGGTGAGGGATGGTGTGACCTTCCTGTGTGGAATCCTGGGAATACAGAGGACGGGGACATCTCTCTGGTGGGTTCCCATGATTGGATCCATCTGTAGGAAACACACACACTGACTGAATCCATTGTTTCTATGTGTTTATCAGATGATGGGGGATCTAGGTGGATCCTCCGTACTCCTCTCTCCTTTCCAATAAAGTCTCCTCTTACCCGGTGATGTGAGGGGCGGCTGATTGTCCATCATGACGTCCTTGTAGAGATCCTTGTGTCCTTCTAAAGATGGATCATGGGATTGGCAATTGGTTATCAACTGTTCAGATGTCCTCTTCAATACTTCATTAATCCTATACACAATTAAATTATCATTAAGTACATTCCCAGAATCCTCCTCACCTCTCCAGTCAGGTATATGTTTTATTAATAGAGATGAGAGTGATGTCATGTGACCTCCCAGAATCCTCCTCACCTCTCCGGTCAGGTATATGTTTTATTAATAGAGATGAGAGTGATGTCATGTGACCTCCAAGAATCCTCCTCACCTACCTGGTCAGGTTTAATACCCTCCATCTGTGTCCGTCTGCCCCATATCAGCACTATATGTCTATTAAAGTATGCTGTAAGCAGATCTGTATTTGCATTGTGAGTAGAGTCAGGACTGGCCAGAGAGGGATTTCTCTGATGCAGTTGGCCAGTTTTAGCATATACTGCAAGAATTCCCTGTGTGCAGAGCATAAATCTAGAATATTTGTAATATTTAATTTACTTGATGGTGGTCTTAATCTATATGGTCATGTGATTTGGATAAATGTCTCTATATTTAGGACGTATCCGGTCTATAAACCAGAGGCTCTGGATGGACGGTTGGATAAATGGTTCTATATTTAGGACGTATCCGGTCTAT